AATAAAACGCATGTTCTCACGATCACCACAAACAAAACAGTTTTATTTGATTAGGCCCTATATATCTATATAAGGTTGGGTTCACATGAAACCAAAGGTTTTTCGTGAGACCCGTAAGATCAATTTATGTTCATTGATCAACTTTATAAGATAATGATCTAATGGTCTAAAGTTGTGCGGTGATAATTTTGTGATTATTGAGAAGTCTCGTGACAATTTTGTGATTATGAATGTTCAGATTGTAGATCTAATCCAAGGGTTGAGAATTTATCTTATGGGTCTAATGAAAAACCCATATATATATATATATATATATATATATATATGTATATATATATGTATATATATATGTATATATATATATATATTGCCACGAAACTTCTCAATAGTCACAAAATTGTCATCGTGCAACTTTGGACCATTAGATTATTAGCTTATAAAGTTGATCAATGAACATAAATTGGTCTTACGGGTCTCACGAAAAACCTTTGGCTTCATGTGAACCCAACCTTATATAGATATATAGGGCCTAATCAAATAAAACTGTTTTGTTTGTGGTGATCGTGAGATCTAATCTCAACCATAAATCAAAGTTTAAATTAGGAAATTAATAATTTGGTAATTTTAACTTGAAATATTAATTAAGGGCGTTTTAGGAATTTTATAAATATCCTCTCTCATCTCTCCTCTTTTCTCTCTGGCGAATCTTATTCTGATGAACCTTGTGTGAACACAAGATACATACTGTGATACCTACAAACGATATTTATTGTGATATCCAGATATACATACAAGATGCACAATATGATATCTTTTGTAAAACAATGAAAATAACGAAAATACACAATATAATACATTTCATAAAACAAAGAAAATACATTGTGATACCCGTGAAACATTGTGAACGTTATCACCATGATACACATTGATTCACAAACGTCTTTAAAATACGATGTATATTAGGTAATTGATAAACTAGGTAACTAATTTTAATTAAATATTTTCTTCTAAAAGATTTAATTAATTTTTTTTATTAATTGTCAAAAATATAATTATTATATTACCATTTTTGCTTATTTAAGAAATATCCTTAAATATCTCAAATGAGTGGTTCACACTGGATCTCACGGTTATCACAAACTAATCAGTTCTCCCTTAAATGAGCTCTTATATATATATATATATATATATATATAGAGAGAGAGAGAGAGAGAGAGAGAGAGAGTTTGTTTCAAATACAACATGTTGCATTTGTACAACCAATGCAACCCAATAAATTGAGATATTTATGGAAATGATGAGAGTTTATTTATTATGATTTGAATATTTATGGAAGATGAATATGGTTCATTAATTATGATCAATACTTTTTATGAGGAAACAATCAAAACTTCTATGAAATCACATATTAATCAAATCAAATGAACGGTTGAGATTGGGTTGTATTGGTTGCACAAATGTCATGGGTTGTATAATAACCAACCTCTCTCTCTCTCTCTCTCTATATATATATATATATATGAACCATTGTGTCAAATACGAACAAAAAATTAACATATACATGAACTTTGACTGCAAAACATTTATGAACACAATATGAACATAAGAATAACTGCTACACGAAAGGAAATAAATATAAAAAAAAGGTATGAACACAATATGAACAGCTTGTGAACAATAATTCCTTCATTATAAACACATTCAGTAGCGATCCTTTGTCAATTTGAGTTTTATACATGCATTGCATCCACATTGTTTAAAGTTCACCATTTGTTCATATATGTTTCTGGTCTTATGTGGTTGTTCACCCCTTGTTCATATCGTATAAAATATATAAACACATAGCCCCGACGCTATGAACACCGGGTGCAAACACTTACACAAATATAAAGATTTGGTATCAAGCTTAAAAAAATAATACTTGTGTTCATATGATAGAAGTAACATGAACACAATGGTTCATGATTCATAAAAGTCGTTAATATGACAATATAAAAATAGATCGTGCATGTACTTCCATTTGAACATGTGAATTAGATACGTATTAATAATTAAGGAAAAAAGTTATAAACGCAATATGAATTACAAAAAACATAACACATCATAATGAACATAATTTCGACTAAAACGAGTCTAATAAAATATTAATTCATTACCAAGACATTCGCTTTGGTTAATTTCTTCACTTCCCGAACTCGAACTCCGATTGTCACTATAAACCATTTTAATCTTCTCAATGTTGTCGATTTTTTTTCCAAAGCGTTTATTCATTATAGCTTGAACGATACTGAAGAATTTACTATCGTGTTTCCTCCACGAATCAAAAACTCATAAAACAATAAAAATGGGAAATCAAGATTACAAATTAAATAAAAATATCAATATTATAATTGCATATTTTTAGGAATTTTATGATTTTGTAACTCCCCTTTAATGATATGGGAGTTACATAGCAAATGAAATTACTCAATTACTCTTGACATTAAATTGTGAACATGATAAAAACCTAATAGAAGAATGGATTGTGATTGGTTGACATGGTTT